AGTCATTTAAAAAAAAAGTAATTTAAAAGTCCACGTTTTGAATTGAGATGTTTGAGGCTACTGTGTGCATGTGTGAATATGTGTGTGCTCACACATGCTTTTTTCCATTTGGTTTTAAACAAGGGTCACCTTCCTTTGGCTTCAGTGATTAAGGATGTTAATCTGATTGCTCTTCCGTTAATTTAACTGCACGAAAAGCGATTGAGAATGACTTCTTGCTAACCAGAGGGAGAAGGGTCAGTTCCTCCCAAGGCCCTGAGCAAAATCCTGAACATCTTAATTTAATGTCACTTTCAACAGAGTTATTACGGAATCCTAATTTTAGCAGCTACTCTTAGATGTGGGCATTTATGTACTGAAGCTTGACATGCCTTTGCTGTAGCTATGTTGCTATTTTGCATGTAAATACTTGTTGAATATACATGTGTTTGCTCCTTAGCATAGGTTTGGAGGAGTTTTTTCCTTGTTTTAAAATTTCAAAAGCGAAAGACCTTTTCAGATAATTTCTTGAAAATGAATTTCTCATACAATTGTATTCACAATACATCAGGAGGTTTTCAGATCACTTTATTGGCTTGGAGTCTGAAATACCTGATAAATGTGTCTGAAATACCTGGTAAAAGCAGCTATGTGGCTGCTTTATGCAGAAATATCTGCAGCTGGATCACAAGATGAAAACAAGTCAACAAAGTTGGAGGGTTGAGAGAAAAGCAAATATAGCCTTGGATGTGTAAACATATGCTGTGCATATGTTTACTTTAGAAAAGGTCTTTCATTGTGCTTTATATTATTTAAAGGCTTCTAGGGAAGAAATATGTCAAAGATAGACTGCACCAGACTTTGTGAGTCTGGTGCAGCAGTGTTGCAAGATTGATCATAAATTGGTCACTGGGTCTGAGAAATAATGAGGAAAATTTGGAGATATGGTGTCAGTAATTTTCTATGTAAAAGGTTGCTGCAAGGGAGAAGATGATAAACTCTACTTTGCCTGCTGGAGCTAGAACAAAGTAATGCTCTTAAATCGAGCGAGGGATAGCCGTGAGCACATTGGGAACGCTTTGGGAACAGAATGACAGCGGCAATGAAGAGACATGAATAGATTGCTTTGGGAGGCAGGATGGTTATGGGATGCCCTATCACTGACTTTTAAGAATACGTTGGATAGGCTTTTGCTAGAAATGATTTAGTTGCAGTTGCTCTCTCTGGCAAAGGGATCGGGTTGACCCCTTGAGACCTTCAACTTTTCTTTTTTTTTTTTTTTCCTGATAAAGACTTGCAACGTTTGAGGCTTTTGTAGTAGCAACTGTTCCTATTGCACCCCAGCAAGCCTTAGTCAAAGTTTGGCCGCCTTCTAATTTGTTCCTGAGCTCTTCTTGCCCTAAAACATATCTCTAACCCTTGTATTGTCCCATGCCATCTTGAGAGTAGTTCTGCTTAGAGGATAATACGCTTCTTATATCCCTCCAGAATAAGGAAATCCCCCATATCTTATTAAGATGATGAGAGGCAGCTTTCATCCATAGAAAGTGAACTTCCTATTTTAAACTTAATTCAATTATTTTGTAACTTTATCATTAAAATAGGTCTAAAAATGGGGATGTTTCTTCCTGACTTAGTTATAGAACATGAGTCTGAATTGCCAACTTTTCAGCAATGTGTGAGAAGACAAGAGCCAAGGGGCCTATGCTTCTTACGAAAACTTGTGGTTGACAAGATGCTCATCATGCTCTGCATGCGAGTGGATAGGTTCCCTTTGCTGACTGTCTCACTTTGAAATGAAAGCTAAAACTGTTCTTACAATCATTTATGAGAATTTTCTTGTAATTGTTATAATTTTATTATAAATTGTTATTCTAAATTGCAGTTGTTATAATTTTATCCTTAAGACTTCCATGGTAGAGGGATTACTCGGTAAACTCAGTAGTGTTTATACAGAAGTTTTTCTTGAAGCACACAAATATACACACACTTGCCAAGTATGCCTCAGTAACTTGGTCTTTTACATAATCAGACGGGTTTTGCAAAGTCCTGTATAGAAATGTGTTGAAAAGGTGAGAGATTTGAGATTAAATGAATTTCACAATGCACAATTTGCTTTGCTTTAACTGCTACCAGTGCTTGATCCTTCTTGTATCCTTTCCTTGGCTCCTGTTAACTGTCAACTAATTTTGATGTGAAACTTAAGATTCTGGTTATGGGCTTTCCTGCAAACCAGAAATGGACTTTGAAGTTCTGAAGTATTTTGACTACCTAAGTTCTTCACAAACAATTATAATTTACTTGTATGTATCAAGTGGAAATCAGTCATTTTGTTCATGCAGTTCCCAAGTATATGCAAGTGGGTTTCACATCCAAAGTTAAAGGCTTGTGAGCAAACTTGAAACCTGGTTCTGATGCCAAAGATCCTCGTTAGTAACACGATATGAATTCCCTGAGACATGCCAAAATGCAGTGATGCCTTTTGGTCTTGAGATGGTTATATTTTAAATGCTGGCAGATTCTTAATCCATCTTGACCTCCACATGGACTTGTTAACCTTGACACCTCATCTTTAACAAATTACATGGATATTACTGCCTAAGAAAGTGTAAGAAAGAAGGTCTTAATGTATTTGTGGTAGCATGTCTTAGATGAATTAGTATGTATTTTAATGAGTTGTCAGCTGTCTTGGAAACATGATGTAGGTGAAACAATTACTAAAGCTATTTACTCTGTTTTGTTTTGTTAAGTATCTTTTTGTCTATCAGTGGTAACACTAGCTTTTATGTAGCTTCTCTCTCAGTCCCTTGTTGATGGCGCCTTTTCCTCAGTTTGATATTGCAGAACAAGAGAGAAGCAGCCCCTTTGTAAACAGTTCTGGATTATCCAAGTAGAGCTGATAAATTTGTCCTAGCACAGTGCCAACAGATTGGTGGTGGATAGAAAAATATTGGGGGCATTCCCAGCACGGTGATTAGGGAGGCATTTTGAAAGCAAGTAAGGCAGAGTTTAACTGTAGGGATGATGAAGCATCTTCCTAGTGATGCAGAAGAATTATTCAAGGAAGACATCTTTAAAATTAAGGAGGCTTTTAGACAAAGTCTTTTTTTTTTCACCATGATATATGTCTAGCTTTGGAAAAAACTTCTAAGACAAGGTCAGGAGCCTTTTGACTTAAGACTTCTTTTAGAAGTAGCAGCTTAGAAAACTTCTATAGGAGATACTTGCTCAGCTGTATTGTTATGTGAAAAAGTCACTGCCTGTGCTGTTTGTCAGTGTAATAGGGGCCAGTGCTGCATGACAGTTATGGTCTTTGAGAGGGTGCAAGCCTTTCGTGTATTTGGGGAGTGACACATCAGAGCCTGGCTGGGCTTTAGGCTGCAGCTTTCCTGTTGACAATAAAGCCTGATGTTGGTCAATGTATGGGTGGAACTGAGTGTGTTCCCCAGATCCTCCTGCATAGTGGAACTTCACTCTGAAAAACATATAACCCACTGATCTTCAAAGAACACATTAACATCTTTTGTAGCTTATATTCCAAATGATTTTTACCATAAGGTCAACATTTACATCTACAAAAATCCAGATAAATTAGAGAAATGACTGTTAGTTTTTGGTCTTTTTTTCCCTCCTCAAACCGTAATTTAACACACTGGATTCAATGTCTTGGATGACCAAGTCTAGTTCTGCACTGTCTCGGGCTTCTCATAGCTTTGAGAAGCAGTAATATGCAGAGTGAGGAGGGAGGAAAGAAAGGGCAGCAGATTCTCCTTTCTCCTTAAGCCCTAGTCCATAGAAGGGGAAATTTGCATTCATGGTATTTAGGACACTTTGTGAGTATGACCTTTATTCCAAGCTGGAGAGCACTCTTTTAGAAGAGTACCTTGCCATGTTTATTCTGTTCTGGCCTCAAATAGCCCTGAAGGAGATCTGCATACAATTGAATTTTACATGTGTGTGATTCTTGAGGTTATCTTTGAAATGCCTCACTGAAAAAGTATGTATCAAGGAGTGGTTGGGACAGTGAATGAAGTTTGCTAGCCAAAGAAACTAAAAAAGTTAATGGGCCTGAGGGAAGTATTAGAGAAAAGGAAGGAGATGGAACAAAAAAACTGATGTTTGTGAAGGACTAGCTCTGGGATTTCAAAGGTTATTTTTGTTTTTATTTTAGACTTGACCAGCTTGTTGGAAGATGATGTTTATTCCTGCTTGAAGCTGCCATTCTGAAAACATACAGTAAAAGAATGTGGAAGAATTCAAGCCTTCGCTTTGTTTTCGCACTAGCTATTTTATGTTTTACAAGCTTAATTTGTAGTCAAGAGATAGGTGAGTATATTTTGATATAATACACTAATTAATTTCTCTTTGTAGTCTATTTATTGACGTAATTTAGCTATGTTGCATTCCTAATACTTATAATTCCAAAAAATGTCACCCCTGTGGTCCCTAGATTTAGTGGTACTACTAGGCAGAACTCTATTTTCCAGGACCCGGTGGCATCGTGTAAACCAGTGCAAAGTTGGATGAAGCATGACTGTGGTCACCTGCATACTCTGTGTGAACATCTGCATTCAGGTGTTCTTGCTGTAGACTTCAGCTGCCTATGACATACTATCAGTAATTGCCCTCTTGTCATTCATTGCCCTTGGTGAGGGACAGTGAAAGAGAGCAAAAAGCTCATTAAGTTCATTATCAAGGCTTGGGTTTTGCCATTGGCCCAAAACCTGCTTATTAAGGAAGGCCAGGAATAGGTATTGTGGAACAAATAGCTGCCTGTGATTATGTACATGAATATAAATCTAATTTTGGGGTACTTCTGGCAGTGTCTGCCCTTCTCTAATTAGGCACACATTCATCATGTATGTACATTCACCAAGTATTTTAAGATACTGTCCAAAAATACATGCAGTAAAATGCATGCAGGTAAAATAATGGCTATTGGTATGTGCAGTAACACTTGTTTTACAATTGGTCAATTCTGAGTTGCATTATGTGACCATATAGTTCTTATCCTGCTTCAGGTTCTCCAGGAGAACCACAGAATTTGAAATGTATAACGCACGATTTACACAAAATGATCTGTACTTGGGATGTCTCTTCCAAAGGAAGATATGGACAAACTGATTTTTGTTACGCCACCAGGTAAGTCTACGTACACCTAAGTGAAAACTGCAAACCTGTGATGAAAGTCTAGCTATTCCTCAGTCTGCTCCCATGGAATTTGTGATGCTATTGTTTCTCAGCATGTCCCAGCCAGTTGTCCTTGGGTGGTGCTCTCCTCAGGCACTGTTAACTCAGGCAATGGCAGGTCTTCTGGCAAAGTATCTGTTCATGCTAACAATTATCCTGCCAAAATCTCCTGCTTGCTCCCTTCAAAGGGCTGGAAGATGCTCTCATTTCTTCAGAGTTCTCTGTGTGTCTGCCTAGCCCTTTCTCAGAGATTTCATAAGGGACATCTTCATACCGGGTTCATTCCAAAAGGAAATGATAGTTGGAAGAAGCAAATCCTGGTGTTATGGGCCAAAGCGGTAGAATACATGACATAAGTGTAAAGATTCACATGTGGAAAAACATAAAAAATCTCTTGGTGGTTGTCTTATAACCTTTATAAATTTTAATCTGTCTGGAGATCATTATGTCAGAGGAAACATGAAAGTGAGTCCACATTTAGACTAGCCTTTCCAAAATACATGAGAGTTGAAAAATTTCAAAAAACATTTAAAAAGAAAATTCTTCGGTATATTTTTCACTAATGAGAACTACATGTGCAATCCCCATGCTGTGGGTCTGCCAAATACTTATTCTGTGCTGTGGAGTTTTTGTCTTGATCCTGCCTCCAGTCCAGTTGTTTGTACTGTCTTTCTTCCTGTAAATCCACGGGCAGCTCTAACTTGTCCTTGGGGTCCCAGGATTTGGCTGCACTTCTTCCGCCTACATGCTTGATTTTTTGTTTTTAGTTATTCCTCCTTTGTTGACAGCTATCATCTCTATTAAAAAAAATCATGTATATATGACAATGTAGGCAGAGTTTTGGAGTGCAGAGTTTGGGAGGTTCTGTCCTCTAAAGAATAACCAGGTAATTGTTGCAACTCCTCCTTAGCAAAGCAGAGCAGGCTTCACTCCCAGGCACTGGGACTGTGGGCTTGGCTTAGCTCAGAAATCCTTACGTCCTCTAATGGCACCTCTATAACACATTAGGAGCAGCCTTTCTGAGCGCTCAAGTTTCACTGGCCTTTGCTAGTGCAGTCTCTTGCATGAATCTTTAAAGTTCAGCCCAAGCTTTTGACTTCAACAGATAGGAGTTCCAGGTCCTGTTCCAGTTCTTAAGTGAGTAATAGTCCCTCCGCAGGAAGTCTGGCATTGTTCTCTTTCCTTTCCTTCCTCCCATCATTCCCCCAAGAGGAAGATCTGGATTTTTCCAAACCTTTTTCCTTTCTAGCTGCATATCCATGATTATGAGCAAAAGGACTTAACCTTTCCATTATTATGCTCAATATTGATCTGCAACCTCCAGACAAAGACCAGATCACCTTGCCCTGAGCGCTGTTCGACTGGTTCTCTCTCCCACCCCCCTCATCTTTTTCTACAACTGAGCAGTAGAAGGGAACTAAAAATTATTATTCTTGTATCTGTGATGGGGAGACAGAGACTTGATGTTTGCATCCATGTTCCATAACTCTGAAAAGGTGGGAGAGGAAGTCAGGAAATGTGAGGGGGAGGGTACTGTTGGCTTTTGTTTTATGGCTTTTGCTTATTTTGAAATTCTGATTCGTGGTGACTGTTGGATTTGGGGATGTGTTTTTTGGTTAAAAAGTCATATTTTTTTCACTTTGGGATGTTCTGTTATCAACTATGTAGCTGCACTATGCACATAGAGTCTACCAGTATGATAAAATGACTTGAAAAAAAAGGGAATGTTTGTTAATCCAATATTAACCAAAGCCCATGTAATTGTAATCTTTCTCAGACTTGACACAGAGCTTTCTTTGTAATGTTACAGAGAAGTTGTGTTATGCAAATTACCTGGAATGTCTTCCTCTTAGCTGGAATACTGGCTTAATCCTCTCTCTCTTTTCAGTAACCTCCTCCCTCCAGTGTGTATTAAAACTAGGGAGAAAAGAGTAGAGATTCCAGTCTCAGAGAGCTCCTTCACTGTGACAATAACCACCAACAGCATTTATGGAGCTGCTTTTGCCACCAAAAAAATTGTAATTCACAAGAAAGACATCTGTAAGTATCGGCTTTTGTATGTGCATATAAGGTCTTTATCTGATCACTGTTGAGACATGCTCCAGAAGCGTATGTGCTTGTAGTTTTCTTTGGCAATATTCCTGAATGTAGAATGTTGATGTGCAGAATCCCTATGCATCTAACCATGTGCAGTAGATTGTTTTTCTCTTCCTTCAGAGAAAAGAAAACCTCTCCACTCATAAATCATAGTAGAAAAATTGAAGGCAAACTGTAAGGAAGAAAACAAAATTCAACTGCATTGTGTGCACTTAATTATTCTTTGCTGTTGTTTTTCTCATGGAAAATTAGGAAGAGTTTGCAAATAAGTTACTAATTTGAAGTGTGGCATACTATATTGGCCATGAAGTGCTCACACCAGTTTTGGGAGAGGTGGAATGAAATCTATACTGGCAATGCTTAAATGCTGAGCCACTAGAGAATGAAGTAGCTTATTTCTAGTCCTTAACATTTTAAGGGCAGTTATAGCACGTGTCACGGCTGTTGGGACTTTATTAGAGTATACCAAACTCGGCCATTTTGTTCAGACATTTATGAAATTAAGCAAATATATTCATGCTAGTTAGACTATTCTTTGTACTGCAGCCATAGATATATTAGACATATATTCCCTCCAATTTTCCTCCCAGAAGTGGAGCAAGGAAATATCTCTAGGCTGAGGTAACTCTGCTCCACATTCTATCTCTTCCTATCACATCAATAGCTCTGTACCTTGATTTGGCTCTGAGGAAATTTCTCTGAGTTTTCTCTTCTGTGTTCAGAAGGAGGGCCCCTTATTCCAGTTGGTACATCTGCCCACATGCTCACTGCCCTTAGTTACATCAGCTGTGTGTTCTTCCACCTTCTACATTTTTATAATTGCTCTGTTTTGGAGGATAACAATATCCTCCTCTCTCCTCTTCCTATAACCTTAATTTGTTTCAGTAGCATTAACTCTTGCCTTTATGCTGTGGAGTCTCAATTCTGCTATCCCTGTCTGTCAGATGGAGCATCACTAGATGCTTCTGAGCACCCGCTCAAACATAAACTTAAAATAAAACTTGAACTAGTTGATAGCTTATTTATTCTTCAATTTCAACTTCCCTGGTTCTTCCAGTTTACACTCTACTAGCCATGTAAGCTCAGCGACATGCTGAAGATAACATTGGCACCATTTGCCACATTTACTCATAATTTAGACTTAGTTTTCAGTTTGCCTATTTATTCAGAATTCAAACAATTCCATTTTCAGTTGACATTGTCTTCTCCTCAACTGAGAGCAAGTCAGAAACTAACAAAATTTATCTAAAAAATGTGTGCAGTTCATGCTGGATGTCTTTCTGACTCCAGGCAGGATGGGCCTGCCGCACTCCTCACAGGTTATTCCAGGTAGCGTGCTGACTGTGCTCAGCACTTCGTAGGCTCTTAGAGGTTCCCCTTGGCCAGTACCCAAACTGGATGAATGACACACTGAAAAAAAAAAAAAAGCAGAATTTATCCTGCGGCAACCCAAATCTACTTGAACTGCCATAACCTTTGCTGGGTTCTCAGTCTCTTGCTTCATGACCGCCCACTCATACAAGAGACACTTCTATTTAGATAGTATCTCTGTACTGTTCCATGACTTTCATGTTTCAGGTAGTTTAAAATCATGTTCCTCATCTTCCTCTACAGAGCCTCATTCAAACTTCTTCCACTATGTGCTTTTGCTCTCCTTTCTCCATGCTCCTGCTTTTGTTGTGGCTCATCCTTCCTCATTCATTCTTTCCTTCTGGTCTTCAAAACCCCTTTCTTCCTTTGGAGTTTTTACTTTCTCCTTCCTATCTGTATTTCTTTGTACACTTAAACTGTGGTTCTGTTTCCTTTATCTTGATGGCATTGAGTAAGGGTTGTGAAGGGTAATACGGTGTCTTCTTTGCAATGCGTTATGAAGAGTCATATTCATGATCAGTTACTCACACATCTGCATGCCGAAATGATAGAAGAAAATGCTACCTGATGACTCATCAGCACCTGTGCTTTCCTGGGAACTTTCCCATTCAAGTAACAACAGAGCCTATCTGGTTCTAATTAGAGAGGTTGACCTACATGTTTGTGTGTGGCTACCAGCCAGTTCAGAGCTGAGACGTGTGGCTATGAAACACCTGTAGGGCTGGTGTTGCTAACTAATGACTTGAATATGGACTCTCTTTCCCCTCTCTTTTTCAAGCATTCATTCCGCTTGCTCCACACATTCTTAGTTTAACTCCTGACTTCTCAACTTCCACATTAAATCTGAAGTGGAGTGATAATGGATCAGTCTTTCCATATGGATTGGATGCATTTTGGCAGATTGAAATACTCCGTAAAGAAACAATGGAAAAAGTAACACAAGTAAGTCCTTTTCCTTCTTTACAAAAAGTACGTATATAATGTTTTACCCCCCCACACACACACCCTAATATTTTGAGGGGTCCTTTTAAAGAAAGCTCAGAATGATACAAAGCACTGAGCTTTGCAGATTCTGATTGTAGTCATGATGCTAGTAGGTATCTTCCCGTTAAGTTTGAAGATAGGGGAGGACATTGGATGTTGCGTTGTCAATACTTGTTCATAGCATTAGCTTTTCTTTTTTTTTTTCCTCTGGATTCCGAACATTCAGCTTGCTTTTATCTCTTTGCTGTCTGCTGCATTTCTGAAGAATAATCCTTATGGTGTACCTCAGCACTGATATTTTAACAACTTTGAAGAAAAAGTCTGTCACTGCTATTATTCCTGTGGCATCTCACATAGAGGTGGTGATGGATAACTATCAGACATTAATATTCAGAATATTAAATATGTAAGATACAACTTTCTCTTATGAAGTTTTCCCAAGCCTTTTTCCAACTTAGTTCTGTAAGTTTTGGAAATGGAAAAAAGATAAAATATATGACCTAGGAATTAAATTTAGAAGAAAGAGGTTCATTTTGCAAAAGTTGGAGCATATCCCTGCCTGGGAGATGCCCTAGGTACTAGATGCAACATATACCTTTTGAAATGTATGGCAAGCTGCCTGCTGTCCCTCAAATATCTGCCCTCTGGCATTTCTGGCTAATAGTCTACCTGACTGGTGGGCTGTTTAGCACTTTAGGCTCTTATCCAAGTAAATTCACATAGCAACTGAAAATATTAGATGGGATAGTCTGCCCATCTGTCAGGATTTTATGATTTGCCACAATTAATTCGCCCATCTTTTGACACTTGCAAGATTCTGTATCTTTGTTAACAACTGTTCATAAACTTTCTCTTTGGTGTTTGGGGGATACTTTGTAGGTAATTTACCATTCAAAACTGACCCATGAAAACATCATTCTTTCTTGGAACTGGACATCAGACATGCCTTTGGAGTGTACATCACACTATGCAAAGATTCGCTCTTACATTAATATCACGGACTTTATGGGCCACAAGGACTGGAGTGACTGGAGCCCAGTAGAAAAGGTTCCTGGTATGTCTATTTGCTTACCGTCACATGGACTTTGATTTGCTTTATGAAAAGCAGCCTGAAGTAGGAGAAAGAGTGGTAGGCAGTGATGGCCTGTTGTTTTCATGGCATTCTGATTAGAGAAATAAGAATTACATGCAATCACAAGTTAATCAAATCTAATAAACAAAGATTGGTATGCCCTAAAGCACTCCTGAGTCACATTTTAGCTGGTCAGCACAATGCTTATTACATAGATGCAATTATAAAAGCAAACACCATGTTTGTTACATATACTGGATTTGTAAAAGCAAACTGTTCATGGGTTTTCTATTCATGTATTTTCCACTTTTGCTTCTTTAATAGGAAAAGATACTGAGCCCAATGGCAGTGGGGTTTTTCCTCAGGACACTGTGGTAGCAGTAGGTTCAGATGTGACAATTTGTTGTATCCATGAAGAAGGTCAACAGATCCAACAGATGACTTATGGATCAGAAATCTACCCACTAATACACCTGAGCAGTCGGAGCAGTGCAATCAGAGTGCTAAATGCCAGTGCTTCACATGCCAGCGGGACAAATGTAGTATGCACATTGTCGCCAGATGGGATGGATGGAACTGTCTTGTTTGTAGGATGTAAGTATAATTACATTTACTAAGCTTAGAAAAATCAGAATGGTATTGAGAGTCCTAGGTTTGAATATTTGCCCTCAGTTTCTGTCCTTTTACATTTATATCCATTCCAGTTTGTTCCTGGAAAAGGGAAGAGTAAGAGCAAGAATTATGAGTGAAAACCTTCATTTACCCATCAGTCAAATGAAGCCATTAAACAGTTAGATAAACAGTTAGACTTTTAGAAACAGTTATATTTGCAGCAGCAGGACAGTAGCTTTCTAGGAGCTCATTACTGCAAAGGAACCCAGCCGACTGTTTTTCCTGGAAAATCTTCTGAACATTCTTTTAATATTTTCTTTAAAATATTTAAGATAATAAGTCATTGTTTATATTTCTGTGTAACCTTGCAAGCCTTAGACATGTCTTCCAGATATAGTTACCTCTTAAAACAAACTATTGAAATTTATCTGGTTCTCCTTTGCCATAATTGGTTACTTCAGAGTTTTGTATGTTTCCTGCAGCAGTGTTTGAGGGGATTGCCTTATTCCAATAGCTGCTCATTGGAATAACTCTTTTGCATTACAAATACCCACCTTTGAACTTAAGGTCCTTGAGGGGGTCAGGGAAAGGAGAAGGGAAACCACACTTCATTTTGAAATTATGTTTTTAATTCCAGCCTGGGCCTCCAGTCCCTGACTTTGCATATTTAGTGTATGATAGCAAATGCAAAAGGAATCTGACTCTTTTGGGAGTCTCAGTGAGATCCCATTTTTACATTGTATGCTTTTATTGGAGAACCCTCCATGTAAGCAAGTGAGCAAAAGTAGTAGCAATCTTTTTGAAGGCAGTGAAGCATACTCACAGTTTTCCCATATAGCACTTAAGATTTACGATATGGTAAAGTCTACTTGCTGCCAGTATTTCCACTTGCAGTACTTAGTGGGAAGTGAGAGGTCTTGTCAGGATGTTGTTGTTGATGAAAATGTTGATGAAACATTTAATCCTCTATCACGTCTTCCCCATATGTGCAGAGACACCACCTTAGGTACCCTAGGTCTGGCAAAATAATTGCTCCTCTTTTGGCTAATTGTTCATAATTTGAACTACTGTTGCCTCTTGTAGTAGTGCCCCTTCTCAGTGCAGGTTTTTGATACTGTAATGAAACCTTTTGGGGGACAGTGTATGAGTCTTGAAAGAAGGGCTGTGTACAGCCTTACATCAGCGTGGTTACCCTGTGTCTGCTGGGAACGTCTTCTCTAAGAAGCAGTTAACAGTGCTGTAGTGTAGGACTCAAGGACAAACTTTAGGAGAAAAGAAACATGGGTTATATACAAGGCAGCGCTGAGGAGAATGAGCTGTATAGGGCTTGCTTCAGCTTCCAAATACAGGGTGGAAATTGTGCTGAAGGGAACTTCTCCTTGACATGACTTGCTTAGGGAATTCAAAGCTGGCACATAACAAAATGTGACACATGGCCGACAGCACTCCCGAATTGCTCAGCAGCTAAACTGACACTCAGAATTTTGGAAGTATCTTGGCACAGTTTTAGTAAAACCCTTCCAGAGTATCGCCTGCAGCTTGTGAACATATTTTCACATGATTTACCAGATTATCCACCCACTTAGAAGGTTAGAGTCAAGCGTTAGTCAGTTAGGGCTGTTAATAGTTATCCATGTGTTTAATTTGAAGCATATAATTTGTATGGTTGGAGAGTAACTTTTATCATGCGCTTGCAAGGCACGCAATCTAGACCCAGCAGAAAAACTCTTAATGGTGATGTTTTCTGGAAGCTAGCAGCCTCACCATTGCACTAGGATGGGAAAAACACTGTCTAACTGTTCTGGTTGCCTTTTATACTACAGATGCCCCTGATACACCTCAAAACCTCAGCTGTGAAACATCCAACTTTCTCATAATAAAATGTACCTGGAAACCAGGCAGACCCAGTGGACTATATGGAAAACGAGGAACAAAGTACAGTTTACTAGAAAGGTAAAACCATTCAGCACTGAAAAGAGAAAAAGATAGAACTTGAATATATCTCTTGCTGCCTCTGACTTACTTCTCCAAGCTTGCCTCTAATTTAAATGAAATAGTATGAATTTTTAGAGCCTACAGTGTTTAAAAAAAAAGATACTTTTAATGTAACTGAAGATGGGACTAAAGTCCAAAAACAACCCTGGCCTAATTTTGCAACATTGCAAAGGGAGTTAAAGATGATTTTGTGAGGGTTTTTTTGTGTGTATGTGTGTGTGTTTCTTTTCCAAAGACTTATGCCGTTACAGAGACATGACAAAATAAAAGCCTTAGTGCATCAGATTTTTGCCAACAGGTGGGTGAGGCTGATGTGAGATTATAAGGAGATGGTGGGAGTCATTAAATTATTTTTGTCTGCAACCTCCAACAGATCATCTTTCAGACATCTCCTGAGCTTCTTCATGACAGAAACTCACTGAGCAACCACTGTGAGACAGACCATGGAGCATTTGTAAAATGCTAGTAGGGAGCAGTGGGAATAACTGAAATAAGCCTGCTTTCATTCCCTATTCCCCAGCATTGAGAACTGTGTAGTGCAGAGCAAGCAAAGTATGCATTACCTGGAAAATACTGAAAAGGACAACTAACATGGGCACCATCTCCAGGATGAAATGAAAGCTGCTGTCCCACTGGTTTATAGTATGTGCTTGACCATGTACAAGCCTAAAAATGAATCGTAGAATCATAGAATGCTCATGGTTGGAAGGGACCTCTAGAGGTCATCTAGTCCAACCCCCCTGCACACACAGGGTCACCTAGAGCACGTGGCACAGGACTGCGTCCAAGCGGGTTTTGA